AGGGACTCACCAGGATCATCCAGTCCAACTGCTGGCCCTGCCCAGGACCATCCCCAAGGGTCACACCCTGTGCCCCAGAGGATCATCCAAACCCTCCTGGAGCTCTGGCAGCCTTGGGGCCGTGCCCACTGCCCTGGGGAGCCTGGGCAGTGCCCACCACCCTCTGAGGGAAGAACCTTGTCCTGAGATCCCCCCTGAGCCTGCCCTGTCCCAGCTCCAGCCCTTCCCTGGGTCCTGTCCCTGCTCCCAGCGAGCAGAGCTCAGTCCCTGCTCCTCCTCTGCCCCTCCTGAAGAAGTTGGAACTGCACTGAGGTCTCCCCTCAGCATCCTCTTCTCCAGCTGAACACCCCAAGTGCCCTCAGCCTCTCCTCACGAGGCCCTTCCCCATCCTCCTGTCCCTTCTTTGGACACTCTCCAACAGTTTATTGACTCCCATGGCAGGCACAAGGATTTCCCAGCAGGAGTCTGAGGTGGCATCACTTCTTGCAGGGGTAAAGCCACAAGGATGTGGTGCAGGTTGTCCCAAAAAAGTCCCCAGAGTCGCTGGATGGGCAGAATTTGAGGCTTGCAGGAGAGGGCTCGTCAGAGAATCACAGAATCACAGAATGCTTTGGGTTGGGAGGGACCTTAAAGATCATCTTTCCACCCCCTGCCATGGGCAGGGACACCTTCCACTAGCCCAGGTTGCTCAGAGCTCCATTCAACCTGGTCTTTAACACTTCCAGGGGTGGGGGAATGTTTTTCCAAAGTGCAGTTCCACACCACTTGGTGAAGGAAGATGATTTTAGGTGACAGCCCAGCACCCTCCCAGTGGCACCAGCGACTTCTGAGGGGACAATAATCATCTGCTTTCTGACTCAGGGCCCTGCTTTGAGCCAACTCCACAGGTCTGAAGGCAAAACAGGAAACATAAATCTTTCATAAATCGTAAGAAAGTTCTAAAAATAACCCCCGAGCTCTCTCAGAGCAGGTTTTTAAAGCCTGACACCTTGCAACTTGCCAGATCTCTGAGGGAGTATTCTGGCAGTCAAATATATAGAAATATTCCCCTTCCTAATGACATCCAGCTCCCTTATTCTGCCTCTAATAAAGTGGCAAGAATAATAAACTGGATCTTAAACCTGTCATGTCCTTGTGACTGCCATCCATCCCCGACCTTGAAGCAACAGAATTCATAGGAAGGGGGGTTGCTAAATCTTGGCAGGGAATGAGTATTCCTTTGGCTCTCGTCTTCTGGTGAAGCAAGTTGCTGTTTCAGGAACCATTCCTGAGGAAAAACACACGTCTTCAAACCTCCTCCAGGGCTGGTTCCAGCTCCTGGGGGGAAATTGGGCCCTTCCCAAGGCACCTGCCCTGGCTGGGATAGGGATGTGCTCCGAGGGCTTCAGGACAAGGCTGTGCTTTCCTGAGCAAGGGTGGCAGGGTGTTATCACAGATTTTGAGAAGAATCTTCATTATTTTTAACAGATTTGGGGTTTGGCCCTCGATTCTTCAGGTAATCCATCTCAGGAAAGCTGATGTTTACAGGCAGGGACACGGAGGGAAAGCAGGGAAGGACCCAAACTCTGAGCCTTAAACTGAAAACCTCCTGTCTGATATTTCATTTACTTCCTTGTTTTCTTTTTTTTTTTTACTCTTTTCCCATCCCTGGAAGTGCTCCAGGCCAGGTTGGATGGAGCTCTGAGCAACCTGGTCTGGTGGAAGTTGTCTCTTCCCATGGCAGGGGGTTGGAATGAGATGATCCTTAAGGTCCTTTCTATCCCAAACCATTTTATGATTCTAAATGCAGTCAAATAGAATGATTTCTAATGTAATAAATGGAATCAGCTGTATTTTAAGGGCATCTTCAACAACTTTGGTAAATCATCTGGAGGTTTTTAGTGTTAAACAGGTGGGTCTCAGTGGAGCTCACTTGACTTCACAGGTCTTGCTGTGCTCATTTTTGGGACTACAGCTTGAGACATGACCCACCCCTTGGAGAAAAGAATGGACTGGGACAGAATTAATGATGAATATGGAGTTTTAGTCAAGTGGAAAAGCAAGTAGAAAGATTGCAGAGGTGCAACAGTGTGAAATACACAGTTCTGAGAATCAGACTCTCAGAACAATCCACAAAAAAAAAAAGGAAAAAAAAAAAAAAACCCAAAGGAAAACCAACTTTCCAAACCTGGAAAGAAATGAATCGACCCAATCAACCTAGAACGGAGCAGGGACAATTAAAAGAGAGTCCATAAAACTTTACAAGGAACTTCTCCAAAAGTGTGAAGGGAAGAAAAGTCTTGCAAAGTGATCAAACAGGACCCGTGCCAGTGATTAGACTGAAAGGAAACAATTGTCCCTCTCCGAGGGAAAAAGTCAAACTGCCACCAGGGTGTTACAATAATAAGAATGCACAGCAATTCCAGCAGGAGATGAAAAGCTGAGCAGGGGAAGTGAGGTGGAAATGCTGGGTTATTTACCAAGATTCATTTTGGCTGAGTGGATTTTCTCCCTTTGACCCGTAGCAACTTTTGCATGAGAGAGGGGTTAAGCTGTGTTTAAATTCCTTTTAACAAATCCTTTTAATTATTATTTTTATTTTTATTATTATTATTGTTATTATTGAAAGATTCACCACTTCAGAAAGCCATTTTTGAGAAAGCACAGAAATACTCCTGCTGTGCCCTCAGCAAGTTTTTTCTTGTACATTAACCCAATTTTGCATCTTAGATGAGATTCCTGAACGTGTAACCAAAACTACACAGTCACATAAGTGTCCTACAAAAAGAATAAAACCCTAAAAGAGGGTTTTTTTTGTACATTAACCCCATTTTGCATCTTAGATGAGATTTCCAAATGTGTAACCAAAGCTACGCAGTCACATAAGTGTCGTACAAAAAGAATAAAACCCTAAAAGAGAGTTTTTTCTTGTTCATTAACCCAATTTTGCATCTTAGATGAGATTCCTGAACGTGTAACCAAAACTACACAGTCACATAAGTGTCCTACAAAAAGAATAAAACCCTAAAAGAGGTATTAGGCTTTCAACTGGTTTAAATAAGCACATAAAGGTTGGACCCGATGATCTCCAGCCTAATTGATTTTTTGATTCTGAGATAAAGAAGTCTAAGTAAGAGGGAGACACTCTGAGAAAAATCTGAGACAAATCCTACTTTTCCTGCTCTTCAGAAAGGGTTTGGAGCAGGGTTTTTGTCCCTCTTAGTCCTCCAGATCAGCTCTTGGTTTGAGTTAATTCCGTAGGTTTTACCTGAATCTCCGGAGTCGTGGCCTCGATCCAAGAGTTCCCATGTTTTTAACAGCTCCAACTCCACCTCTAACCTCGACTTTCAGGGATGCAGGACTGGGAATGTGCCCCTGAGTGTGAAACTGGAGCGTGGAGTTAACAAGACACCAGCGAATTTCCTAAATGAACTCGGCCCAGAAGGTACAGGAAAGGGTCAGTTCTGCGCTTTTTTCCCCGAGACAAATTGAACCATAAATTTTACAAGTGTTTGGTGACATTAATTGGGTTACACTTGTGCAAGAAATTCTCCTTTCTTGCTCATTTGTTCGCGGTGCCAAATATTCCTGCCCTGCCACTCGCTCAGCCATGTGATTTCCAGGCTTAACAATTGCTCTGAGACACCAGAGACTCAAACCTCACCGTAGTTTATTGCTCAATAAAACCCCCCAAAAGCTTCAGATATTTCAGAGAGAGTCAAAGGAAAACTCCCATTTAAAGAAAATGTTCTCCTGGCCTCCTCCTTTTTTTTTGTTGGTTTTTTTTTTTTTTAATTAGTCCTTTATTCACCTCTCCAAACCACTGGGCCTTGAACAAAAGGCTCTTTTCAGAACAGTCACTTCTGTTCAAGATTAAGTGGAGTGATTTATAACATTTATGTGGTGTTAGGCAGTGATCATTCAGATGTTAAATTAATGGACATTTCCTCAGCAGCTCCTTGCCAGTTCCTGTGGTACTGTTAATGTACCATTTGATCCAGAATACAGGGAATAATCCTCTCCTGGCTCTGGAGAAAGAGTTCTCCTTTGTCACTGCTCAGGAGGGTGAGTTGCCCCGTCCAGACATGGAGGCCTGAGGGAGTTTTGCATTCCAAGCCTGTCCAAGGCTGTGGTGCTTGTGCTGAGCTGAGCTCCGGGGAAATTATGACATTCAGAATTCCAGAATCCCACAATCCCTGAGGTTGGAAAGGCCCTCCCAGCCCATGGATCCCCCCTGTGTCCATCCCCACCTTGTCCCCCAGCCCAGAGCACTGAGTGCCACGGCCAGGCCTTCCTGGGACACCTCCAGGGCTGGGCACTCCAAACCTCCCTGGGCAGCCCCTGCCAAGGCCTCACCACCCTTTCCAGCAGGAAATTCCTCCTCCTGGCCAACCTGAGCCTCCCCTGGCACAGCTGGAGGCCGTTCCCTCTCCTCCTGTCCCTTGTTCCCTGGCAGCAGAGCCCGACCCCCCCCGGCTTCCCCCTCCTGTCAGGGGGTTGCAGAGCCAGAAGGTCCCCCCTGAGCCTCCTTTTCTCCAGGCTGAGCCCCCCCAGCTCCCTCAGCCCCTCCTGCTGCTCCAGCCCCTTCCCAGCTCCGTTCCCTTCCCTGCACACGCTCCAGCCCCTCCAGGTCTCCCTTGCATGAGGTTCCAGACCTGGACACAGCCCTGGAGGTCCCTCAGCAGTGCCAGCACAGGGGACAATCCCTGCCCTGGGCTGTGCCCACACTATCCCTGATCCAAACCAGGTTCCATTGGCCTCTTACCCCCCTGGGCACACCCGGGCTCGTGTTCAGCTGGCTGTTGACCAACAAGGAGGCACAAGGAGCCAGAGATACAAATATAGGTGGAAAACCCTTGGAAAATGGGCATGGAAAGGCTGAAGGTACAGACTTTGGGGCTGAGTATCCCTTTGCTGCACGTTGGCACGTTACTGTTCCAGCTCATGCCCCTTGGGATCTATGAGTTTGTTCTCCAAGTGGTTGGAAAGATGTTTGCTGCAGGAAAGGAGGTGCTGGAGGACAGGATGGCTCCCTCACTCGCTGGAGAGGCTGAGACATTTTTCGGGAATGGATGTCTGCTGGGAAGCACACGGTAAAAAAGACCAGGAAATGTAATTTTAGCTGCGGCTCTTGTGAGATCCTTCATTGTGGAGAACCACAAAGGGGAGGTTTCCTCAGCTCTCCTCAGCACAACGACTTCTCCTGTGCTCCAAAACATGGGAACTCTTAAAGGGGTTTAATGGGACTAACTGGTTACTACCTATAGGAGAAAAGCAGCCAAAAAAGGGCTCACTTTTTGGGTTGTTGTTTTATTTACCTTGGTAGAAGCTCCTCTGTTAAAGCCACATTCTCCAGACCAACGTGCCAGACCCCTAAATGTGCTTGTGCTTAACTGGAAAAGCGTTGATATTCTGCCATCCTTCCAAAAAGGAGGGTTTCCAAAGCTCCGTGATCCCTGTGCTGGTCAGGGCAGGGATCCAGGCACAGTGGTTTGCTGTGAGAAGAGATGACTGAGCGGTTTCCCCGCCCTTTACCGTCATGTAGGACCTCTCTGTGCAAGGTTTCAGCTCCAAAGGGCGTGTTTGACAGCAAGTTAAACATCCAGGATAGTCCTAAACCACCCAGCTGTGACCCTGGGGGTCTATATTTAGGCTGATGCAATTTCTGGTGGTGTTGATGTAGCTTTTGGGGAGGCTCCAACCCTGTCAGGGCACAGCACTAATGTGTCTTCTGCCACCCAAGGTGGGACCCCAGCTGTGGCACCTCTCTGTGGCATCAGGCTGGGTGATCAGGGCTCTGATCCTGCTCACCACCTCATGGCCTTGCAGGTTTTAGGACCCTCTCATGCCTGAGTGATCAGGGCTGTGACCCTGCTGACCTGCAGCTTTTTTGACCCTTTGGCTCCTCGAAGCCTTCAAACTGCCTTGCAGGCATTCCCTCAGTTCTTATGGAGCAAATTCCCCTCTGTCCAGTGGGATTTGTGTGTGTTTGTGAGGCAGCTGAAGCTCAGGAGTTGTGACTTATCCAGTGACAATCACCTGGACAGAAACAAATCTTAAATACTCTGAATAAGAATCACAGAATGCTTTGGGTTGGAAGGGACCTCAAAGCGACCTTGTTCCAACCTCCTGCCATGGGCAGGGACACCTCCCACTAGACCAGGTTGCTCCAAGCACCATCCAACCTGGCCTTGGACACTTCCAGAGATCCAGGGGCAGCCACAGCTTCTCTGGGCAACCTGGGCCAGGGCCTCCCCACCCTCACAGGGAAGAATCTATTCCCAATCTCCCATCTAACCCTGCCCTCTGTCAATGTGAAGCCATTCCCCCTTGTCCTGTCACTCCATACTCCTGTAAATGGTCTCTCTCCATATTTTCTTTAGGCTCCCTTCAGGCCCTGCAAGGCCACAATCAGGTCACCCCAAAGCTTCTCCTCTCCAGGCTGAACAATCCCAGCTGTCCCAGCCTTTCCTCCCAGCAGAGCTGCTCCAGCCCTGGCATCCTCTTGGTTCCTGCTCTGGCCTCTCTCCAGCAGCTCCATGTCCTTGCTGGGCTGTTCCCCAGGGCTGGAGCAGCTCTGCAGGGGGGTCTCACCTGAGGGGACAGAGGGGCACAATCCCCCCCTGCCCTCTGCCCACGCTGGGGGATCAGCCCAGGGCACGGGGGGGTCTGGGCTGGGCCATGTCCAGCCTCTCCCCCACCAGCACCCCCAGGGCCTTCTCCCAGGGCTGCTCCATCTGCTCATCCCAAACCTGGATTGGGAACGAGGGGAATTCCTGCCTTCCTGCCCAGCAAGTTGGGCCTGTGCTCAAATTTAAATATGTGGGTAGTTCCCATTCATGCCAATGAACTCTAAACACGTGCTTAAAGCTGAGCAGTTCATTGAATTGTGGCAACACTGAGTGGCTTTTGTAGAATTAATTCACATATCTGGGCTGCTTTTTATGTCTGTGACCCAAGGAGAACTGAACAGCTTCTGTGTGGGTTTTAAACCCGTCCTTCAGTTAAATCAAGGATGCAGACACAAATGGTAGCACACATTATATGGATTTATGACATTCCCTGGAGGATTCTGGGTCAATAAAGCAGTGAATGGATTACAAAGAGGCCTCTAAAGTGTTTGCTGGAATTTTGCAAGGAATGAATGAATTACTGTTTGTGTTGTGGCTGGAAAACATCTTTCCATGGATGCTGCAGCACGACGTGCTCTTGCTGTTTTGAACAACTGTATTTATTCTTTTCAAGCCAGGAGCCAAAAACTAAAAGGGAAGCAGAATGTTGTAGCAGTACACAGTTAAAATAGACAGGGAAATAATATAAATTCAATGCAAATGATTAATTGTTATTCAACAGGGTTGTTTTCCTGCAGTAAATCGCAGATTTCCACCAGGATCAGTGCTCTGGATTTATGCAGACATGTTGTACAGGATGCAAGAAGCTTGTAGCTTAAGTAAAACTTATCTAAAAGCCTGGTTTTATACAGACTTAATTCCAAAGTGAGCCTGAGTTTCCTAAACAACCAGAAGAGCTCTTGCTGAGCCCTGTGCACATTCCCTGTTTCATTCCCAGCTGGCGTTTAGATACAACCCAAAGCAAGACACAACAAGCAAAAGCTAAAAATGTGAAGAATGAAGCTTTTGGGAGGGATGAGAAAGCAAAGGAAGAACCCTCAGGTCTGTCCAACACTTCCCACACGGGTGAAGGTCACGTGTGAGCTCCAGAACATCTGGACCAGCCGCCCTCCCTGCCCTCGCTGGGCTGAGCAGTTGGGCAGAAGACACATTGAGTGGGTTGCCAATGAGTTTTTTGATCTGTTTTGTTTTAGGATGAAGGATTTCAAGTGGCAGGAGGGTTAAACTGCCCCCTCTCTCCTCACCAGGATGGTGGTGAGGAATCTGTTGTCGCCTTCATGTCCCCTCTCTGCCAGGAACGACAGGGATGCTCTTTGCTGCTCCTTAGAGGGTGGTCAGTGAAGGAGAGAGGTCCATCCTTAGAGAGTGGTCAATGAAGGAGAGGTCCATCCTCTGGGGACATTTTTGCTTTTCTTGTCTCTGGCTCATCCCACCAACAAATTAAAAACATCTAAACCTTGATCCTACCTCGGATTCAAGGATATATTTTACTTGTCCCCGGTCCCGGCAGTGGTGATTCTTCACTGTGACTCCACTTTCAATCCTTATTTCCTTCCCAAATTTGTGCAGGAGAAGTTTCAGGAGTGCCTTTTAAACACAGACACAGCTTCAGTCACCTCCCAGCTGTCAGAAAGCAGCAGTTTGTCGAACCCTGATCACGCTCAGCAACCACGAGACGCGCTGAGGGAATTGGTGCTGCCGGAGTTTGAGACCAGCACTCAATGGCAGAGCTGTGATAATTAATATGCAATGATAAGGCCAGGGCTAATGAAATTAGCAATGCAATTGCTATTAATATTTGGCAGTCCTCCCTAATCCCTCGCCCAGTGTCGGTTTTGGGGGGTTTAAAGCACGGGCTTCCCTGTAGAACGAGGATTTTTGGTGACTTTGAGGGATTAAGGAGGGAGGAAAAAAGGTAGCTGAGAAAACAACAACAATGACAAATACAAGGAAAGAGCTGAAGGATCCGTGTTTCTGGTTTTATCCACTTATTCTTACAGCAAATCCAGGTTCTAGGTCACTTAACTGAATGGAAAGCATCCAACAAGACAGCCAAATTAAGAGAAAATAGAGTCTCTCTACCTTGAGCTCCAGTAAGGCACAGACAGCGGGCAGTGGAGAGTCCATTAAATTTTAATTTGCTGGTCATTAAAGCGTGCCATTCATTTGTAAAATTGCATGGCAAGGAAGCCCAAGTACAGGAGGGTCTGGCTCACTCCTCTTAATGGTCTTCTTTATAAATTCCTCCCTGTGATTATGATCAGCTCCTTCTGATCGGCCATAAAATTTATGGGCCAATTTATTACATCAGCCGAGTGGAAAGATCAGATAATGCGATGCCATAAAAAAAAAAGTGGGTGCTGATTTTAAGAAATCAGGGAGAAGAGCGAGAGGAGAGCACCTAATTACTTCAGCAACATTAAAAACAACCGCCCCATAATGGGGTAGGGAACCATTTAATCAAAATGGACACACAACACTCTTGTAATTATATGAAAAGGTCATGGAAATCATCAATTTAGCCCGATATGATGTGAAGAATAGGACTGAAAACTTCCAGGAAAAGCTATCTCCTGGAGATTGTTTGAACCACAAGAAAGAGGGGGTTGTATTTCCAGTTTAATAGCTGAGGGCACAAAAGCCACACTGTGTGTTTTTTTTTGGGCTTGGGAGATCTCAAAGCAGAAATCCCTTAATTGGAACTGCTTCCATCCCCAGCGTGGAGGTTTCATTTCAAGGCACATACCTGCTGCTGGAAAATAGAGTTGCCTCCAATTTAATTATGTGGCAGCCCCACTCTGGGCTCTTTGATTGGTGCTGTGAATTCCTCCACAGAGCTCAGACACCAATTCATCTGTTTTTTAGCAGAGGGAAAGAGGAACTGCTTCCAATTTCCTTTTTTTTTTTTTTTTTTTTTTTTTGCTGGGCAGTAATGGATAATTTCCAGCCCTGGAAAAAAAATAAAACAAAACAACCCCAAAAGCATCCCCAGTCTGTACCTGGGGTAACCCAGTTCCACCAGGTAACAGAGTCTGTTTTCCTGCTGCTGTTGATCAAAGATTGACCTTGAGGACTTGATTTTGGGCAGGAGAACGGAGCAGGAAGCAAATCAGCTCCAGGAAAAGCAGGGGGGGGATGCTTTGAAGTGAAAGGGAAATCCACATTTCTGGGACTCTCAGGATAGGGCCAATTAAAGCCTGGACACGAGGGATACTTTGGCATGGCTGTGTTGGTACCAAACGGGCACTGCCTGGGCACTGGAGGAGGAAAAGCTCAGGATTATGATTCCTGTGCTATTCCTGCACTGCTGAGCAGAGGATTCCATGAGGATCAAGCAGCTGTTGTGCCTCTGGAAGATGTTTGGAACCACCCCAGGCTTTTCTCCTGCTCCACTTGGGCACAACTGACCTTTATAGACATGTCCCTAAGAGCTGAGAAAGGTGTGGTTGCTTTAGAACCAGAATTTTCCCAGGGAAATCGTGGATATTCCACCCAAAAAAGTCTGCAAGGCCAACTTTGGATGGAGCTCTGAGCAACCTGGTCTAGTGGAAGGTTCCCTGCCCGTGGTAGGGGCTTGGAACTAAATTATCTTGGAGCTAAAAAGATGCATTTTCACTTTATACATTATTAAAACCAATATTTTCCCCTTTATTTTATTGGCTTGAGCTTGTTATATGGGATATAAAGTTGAATCTGTCTCTGCTAATTTTGAGAAGTGTGAGAGCTCTGAGTCAGTTAAAGCTTCTGAAAGGAGAAATTTTTTAAAAAAACAAACAGGAAGAGAAGACATTTGCCATTAGAGCAGATTTCAGTTATTTTTTTGCTAAGCATCTGTTTGTTCAAAGGGCAGGGTGTAAACAAGTGACCCTATTTGTCCAGGGATGCAAGAGATAAGAGAACCAAGCTGATATCTCTCATTTTAAAGAGGCAATTGTCGGTGGATTTATGAAAACTCTGAATTAGATAAAGCAAATTCACAGCAGGACAAAGAAAACTTGACCAGGTCATGTAAAACAACAACCTTAAGTGACAATTTGTTACAGAGCAGGTGATTAGGTCAGTTCAGAAAACGAGAAAACATAATAATTGTCCAGCTGTCAAATGGCTGAACCCAACATGAAACAACATTTCCCCCTCGTTCCTCCCGAGACACCAAAACTCAGAGCTCCCAAATCCATCACCAGGCAACGAAATGAACTGCCCTGCTCACCCAGCAGCTCCTCCCAGAGGATATTTTACAGGAGAAATCATTCTGGAAGGTTCTTTGGGGGTGCCTGGGAAGGGCTCAGGATGTTTTCTGTCTCTCAGCCAGCTGTGCTCACACTCAGGTTTAGGGCTGGAGGATCCACGTCCCGGAGATTTACAGGCAGAGTTTGGCTAAGGTGGGATTTTTTGGGAGTACCTCGGGACAAAATGCCTCTGGAGAACTGTCCTGTGGAGCCAGGCTGGGAGAGATGAGGGTGCTCAACCTGGAGGAGAAAAGGCTCTGGAGCCCCCCTTTCTGTGCCTAAAGGGGGTTATAAAAAGGAGGGAGAGGGTATTTTTCTACTGGCAGAGAGGGGGCAATGGTTTTAAACCAAAGGAAGGCAGGGATAGATGGGATATTAGGGAGAAATTCTTCCCTGTGAGGGTGGTGAGGGGCTGGGATAGAATTCCCAGAGAAGCTGTGGCTGCCCCTGGATCCCTGGAAGTGTCCAAAGCCAGGTTGGACGGGGCTTGGAGTAACCTGGGCTGGTGGAAGGTGTCCCTGCCCATGGCAGGGGGTGGGACTGGATGATTTTTAAGGTCGCTTCCAACCCAAACCATTCCATGATTCTATAATTCCATGTCCACTCTGTCTTCTGCTTCTTGTCCCCCTCAGCCTCCCGCACCCTGAATGGTGACAGGGGAGCTGTCTGCATTCCCTAGGATCTCTCTGCATCCCCTGGGATCTCTCTGTATCCCCTGGGATCTCTCTGCTTCCTTTTGGATCTCTCTGCATCCCCTGGGATCTCTCTACATCCCCTTGGATCTCTCTACATCCTTCTGGATCTCTCTGCATCCCTTTGGATCTCTCTGCATCCCTATGGATCTCTCTGCATCCCCTGGGATCTCTCTACATCCCCTTGGATCTCTCTGCATCCCTCTGGATCTCTCTGCGTTCCTTTGGATCTCTGCATTCCCTACGATCTCTCTGCATCCCTTTGGATCTCTCTGCATCCCTGGGATCTCTCTACATCCCTGGGATCTCTCTGCATCCCCTGGGATCTCCCTGCATCCCCTGGGATCTCTCTGCATCCCTTTGGATCTCTCTGCATCCCTTTGGATCTCTCTGCATCTCCTGGGATCTCTTTGCATCCCTCTGGATCTCTCTGAATCCGCTCGGAACTCTCTGTATCCCTCTGGATCTCTCTGCATCCCCTGGGATCTCTTTACATCCCTCTGGATCTCTCTGCATCTCTGGGATCTCTCTGCATCCCTTTGGATCTCTCTACATCCCTTTGGATCTCTGCATTCCCTGGGATCTCTCTGCATCCCTTTGGATCTCTCTGCATCCCTTTGGATCTCTCTGTATCTCTTTGGATCTCTCTGCATCCCTTTGGATCTCTCTGCATCCCCTGGGATCTCTGCATCCCTTTGGATTTTTCTGCATTCCTCTGGTTCTCTCTGCATCCCTTTGGATCTCTCTGGGATGCTTCAACTACCTCCAGTCAGGCATTTTTGTCTTCTGCTGCTGGAAGGAGGAATTTGGCCCACACGGGTCAAAAAGGGCTCTTTGCAGCCCCTCTGAGGAGTGTTTAGGTAACAGGACTGTGAGAGTAGGTGCTGATTCCTGGTGTGTGGGGTCAGGATGGGGGGTGCAGGGAATTCAGAACCTCCTGGGATGGTGCCAGAGCCGTGCATGGGGCAGAGCAAGTCGGTCCTGCCCATCCAGTCCCTTCCACCTCCACAAAATAACTTCTGGAATTAACTGTGTCCATGCTCAGGGGTTATTTCTGGGACCTGGTGGGGTGTTCCCAGCTCAGAGCCCAGGAGAACAGCAATCCCTGATAACCAGAAGGCCACTGGTGTGGCTGGGGATGTGCCCCTGACCTTCCTGAGCAGCAGGAACAGATATTCCAGCTGTTTATATCCCAGAAAACAAGTCAGTCCCGGGACACAGGTTCAAGTGTGAGCCTGGGATTTGCTCCTATTAATTTACCACCGTCAAACCCCCTGGTCAGATCTGAGCCTGTGCCAGCTGGGG